TTCAGCTTTGGAGAAAATGTTGATGAATGATAGCTCATTTCCAATCGAGACTTGATCTTTCGTATCTTTAAACCTATTGATTACAGGCAACAAGTTATGCAACCAGATGCACATATCTTAATTATTTGTTTAATGTCTATAGCTATTTTTATATTGCAGTCATTTATTCAATGTTTTTATTTGTTAATGACTGCCTTTGGTTAAGGTGAAAGGACCTGAAATTTCATACTGTTTAATACTTTTGTTGTTAATTCTCAAGAAAAGACAAAATGTATAAATCCAGTTTTATGTGTTCAGGTTTTATTAAAATTTTAATAATAGCTCTTAAAAGCAATAAAAATTGACAAGGGAATATACAGTAATAGCAATGACAAATTGGTACATTTGTTAAACTTTGCATGAATGGCAAGATAGCCATGAATCAAGATTTCATTTTGTCAGGTAGAGACCAAAGTACAGAAATCTAAAGCAAGTTTAACTGATTTATTACTCAGTAATTTATCTAGTTGCAGGTCAAATAAGTTGTTCACTGCAAACAAAGTCTGACATAACATTGCTCGGCTGAGACAATGTAATAAGAAAAGAGGCATCAAAACAAATGCATTAATTTTTTTTAACACTAAAAGATAAAAGCCTAGAATCATAATTGTGCTGAAATCTTAATTCATAAATGTGGCAAAAGATTTACAAAGGATTGATGAAAAGTTCTTGACCCTGACCAACAAGGGATTACAAAATAAACTTTCCAACCACCGTAACATAGCTTTCCTTTGCCTTTTCAATAAATATTTTCAAGGTAATTGTTCTGATGAGCTTTCCTCTTTGGTACCTAAACTTTACGAATTTAAGCGCAGTACTAGATTGGAAGTTAGGTCTCATTGTTTTACAGCTGAAATGGCTAGATGTAACTGTACGTTCTATGCTAACAGATTCTTCTCCTGCACTTCTTGATTCTCAAACTCTCTTCCAGCTTCTTGCTTTCCAGTCAACTTTGATCTTGAAAACTTTAAATGCAATATAAATTGTTATCTTCTAAATTCCTGTTCTTTTATTGTTCTCTCTCCTAAATAATGTTTTCTTTTCTCATATTCAGTAACTCCGTGTGTGTTAATGGCTTTATTAAAAAAAAAATAATGTTTGGCTATTTGGTCAGATGATGCAAAGTGAACCAGGCTGAGAACTTTATGATAACCCCTTGTAATTTTAACCTTTATTGTAACTTTACTTTTTAATTATTCCTTCACTGTTTTATTTGCTAATGACTTGTCTTTAGAAAGATGATAGTTTTCAAAATTTCAAAATCTAACACCATATTTAAGATGCTAGCTAAATCCCCATCCTACAAACAGGAGTCATAAAAGTTCTTTTTGTTATTATGCTAAGTCTACTTGAATGTCTTACTTTATATATAGCTAAATAGACCTGACCAGGAGAGTCAAAAATCTTGTATTGAGAAATTATACAAACGAATGCATGTGGGCAGACACTCTCTGCTAACACAACTGTGAACTTTGGGAGAACTAACTAATGTGATTTCCTGGCCAATCCTAAATTGCAAACTAACTCCAAAATACTTGTGCAAACTAACTACATGTACTTTGGTTTATACCTGTGGTTCCCAATCTTTTTTGGCCATGCTCCACCTAAGCATCTCTAAAATCCTGATGCCCCAACCCCTGTGACATATAATTCTTCTAATTCAAAGTGGAGAAAGACTAAAAGGCTATTAACTTGGTCTAAACAAGCTTCAAAAGAACATGACATCCATGAAAGGGGGAAATAAAAGAACGAAAGGATAGTTAAAGAACTGAGGAAGAACTAAGTAATTGTTAAAAAAAATTATATATATATTATTATAGGAGATTAAAACAAAAACATGTTAAAAATCGCTACACAATAGCATTTGTGTTTTGGCACTAAGTTGTGCCTCTTCAAATGATGGTAAATAACTGGTGAGTAAATGATTATTTTTAATTTCAAAAGCAAAATACCCCCACTTTTTTCAAAAGAGAAGAAAAGATGAGAAAACACTAGATCAGAATTAAAAGGGGCTTGTGGGTTTACTCTGATTAACCAATCAGTTGTCAGACCTAAGCTAAATTCAAAATTAACCTAAAAAAAGAAAATTTAGATCATGGCATAATGTAGCTTGAAATAGAATCCTAGACAAGGTCATTTGTGGCAGACATAAAACTAATTCAAACTATAAATGAGTGGCAATACTGTATCATAATTGTGGACAAATATGACTTGTTTAATTTTCCATAAGTAGCTAAGGGGAGGGATAGGAAGGTAATCAAACATATAGTTAATTGTAACATAGATTTTGTAGTGAAAATTAAAATTATACTTCATTTGTTCTTATCTTATACCTATATATATATATATATATATTTAGTTGGATTGATATGAATTTGTGACCCTGGGTTTCATGCTATTTGCGATCATCAGACAAACTGATCAATTTTTTAATTTTGGATTTATATATGGCTGCGTATATCGGTGTTTTTATGTTAGTGGGAGGAAAAATTGTCATCGGAACGCTACTCATACTTACACAAACATACATATACACACATTCACTCATTGACGTGTGCAGACATACATACATGCACAACAGTACATATGTAATTACATATGTATATACATATATACAAAAATGTTTATGTATGCATACTGTATATGCACGATATGTATTAACTGGCACACACACTCACAAAGACTCATCGTTAATAACTCATTCTCAAATTGCTCCCCTTAGGATTAAGTACTGGTGGGACCCATAACTGGCAGCAGTGATGATTATGAGTAAGGGTGGGAGTATAAAAGAAGAATCAGAGGGAGGTAACCACTTTTTTTTTCTTTTTGATGATCGTAAGACTCCTGAGGGCATGTTGTTGATGGAAAGCAGTGAAGAGGAGAAGGAAGACAGGCTGAATGCAAAAGACTAGCAGTCAGTGTAGGAGAAAGAGAGAAAAGATAAGACTAGGATTCGTTTCAATCCCATTGAGATCAAGCTTAAAAGAAACCCAGTTGAGTCTAAATTTTACTGTTTTGCCCTCAAACCACATTGTAAGTTTATCAACTTCACCCAATAAAAACCTAGATGCTACTAAAACCACAAGAGCAACACCTAGCATGGTGATACAATGATTTTATTCCCTGCAAGGCAGTTTTAAGGGTTAATATATATACTCCTTTCTGTATCTATTTTCCAAGAAATTTTATTATAGGTGAATTTCTGTTAATTTTTCTTTTTTTTTAGGAATGATAATAAAAAAATAAACTGTATTATTTAAGCTACGATCAACATGTTATTTATTTTCATACCACAAGGGCAAATACAACATGAGTTCAGTTTAATGCAGAGTCCTACATAGATATATATAGGGATAAAGACAAAAAGTGCCCAGTCCTTGTGACCAGGTTTCAGAGTAACTTCTCCTTTTAATGCAACAAGAAGATGATACTTGGAAATTGGAATGCCATGACTAAGTTTACTTCATTTAGGCTGTTTTAACTTACAGAGCAAACATGAGTGATCCCAGCCATGAAACCAAGATGAAGCATATTTGCAATTCCAGTTCCATGTTGAGAAAAAAGTACAATAACATAACAAGAAAGTAAAGGGGGGAATAAATGATACTGACTTACAGAGATGGGAGAATAGATGATACTGACTTACAGAGATGGGGGGAAAAATGATACTGACTTACAGAGAGAGAGGAATAAATGATACTGACTTACAGAGAGAGAGGAATAAATGATACTGACTTACAGAGAGTGGGGAATAAATGATACTGACTTACAGAGAGAGGGAAATAAATGATACTGACTTACAGAGAGAGGGGAATAAATGATATTGACTTACAGAGAGAGGGAAATAAATGATACTGACTTACAGAGAGGGGGGAATAAATGATACTGACTTACAGAGAGAGGGGAATAAATGATACTGACTTACAGAGAGGGGGAATAAATGATACTGACTTACAGAGAGAGGGAAATAAATGATACTGACTTACAGAGAGGGGGGAATAAATGATACTGACTTACAGAGAGGGGGGAATAAATGATACTGACTTACAGAGAGGGGGGAATAAATGATACTGCTTGCAGAGAGTGGGGGAATAAATGATACTAACTTACACGGGAGGAGAATAAATGATACTGACATAGAGAAGGGTGAATGTATTATACTGACTTATAGAGTGAGGAAAATAAATGATACCAACTTAGATAGAGTGGAGAAATAAATGATGCTAACTTAAATAGAGGGGGGAAAGAAATGATAGTGACAGAGAGAAGGGAATAAACGATACTAACTTACAGAGAGAAGGGTAAAAAAAACGTATTTGATTTAAAGAACCTAACGAGTTTAATGATAAAATTTGAGTCACCTACAAGATTTTAAAATTCATTTTTCAAATACGATTTTATATTCTTTTGCAGCTATGCTTGTATTGAGCACATTTTTTTACAAAGTCAACTGTAAATCTCAGTGAAACAGTGATTTTTTTTATCATTACCTTTCTTTTCTTATTACTAACAAGGAAAGAAACTAATTAAAAAAATCATTATTTATCTACCGAGAAATGTTGTGTAAAGTTAAATTGAATTTTTTTACATATTAAAAAAATAACGTACTTTTTTCCTTTTTGGCAGTTTTGATAAAACAAATTTCGAATTAAGGAATTTGCCCTCTTCATGTGTGTCTCAAAAAAATCATTTATGAGAGAATCCAAGTTAGTATTATTTTTTCTGCTTAGTAAAATATCGCAAATTAAAATATAAAAATGATGTTGCAATAAAGAATGGTTACTGTAATTATAATTTCATACAATAATTAATAAACAAAAACAAATGGACAACTGACGCTTTTACGGTACCGCAACCACAGAAAAAAAACTTCTTTTCCGATTTTGTTTGCAAAAAATAAAATTGCAGTATTTTCTCATCAAGCTATATAACATAACAATAATAATAGCCAGACTTCTTACCTAAACAGTGAGCCTCCAAAAATGTAACAACTGGGATTTGAAAAAGCGGATTTCCCAAAAATTCCAACAGCTCATCGTATACCCATTGGTTTTTCTCGGCCATTTTGTTTTGAGGAGAAACTCATTGATTTGCGTCGCCGTTGCTATTAGCAACCGACGCCCGCTGTCGCCATCGCCACTCTCAACGATAACGACGCAAATATTATTAAAAAAATCTTTAAATAAATTCACAGTTTATCTTTATTTATTAATCTCTTCCGTTCTGTCGGAATGCATTTCGTTGCGTTTTTTTCTTTTTATTTACTGTTGACAACTAAACGCTCACCAAAAAATGGACTCTTTTTTTTTTTTTTTTTCCGAAGTGAAAGTAAAAAATCGACACCTGCTGTTTCAAAAATATTTGCCAAAAATCAGGGAATTATCCGATTCAAACAAAATTTTCAAAACTTAATCCTTAATGAATGAATATTTTACTCAATAGGTTATTTTATTAAAAAACAAAAACAAAAAAAAACAAAACAAAACAAACCTGTGGGGAAATATTTTTTATTAGTTTCACACACCCTTTTACGTTCCTAAATTATATTATTACGGAGAACACTTTCCAACATCTTTAAGAGTACTTAAAAATTCTATAGAAAAGCGTTCACCGGTCATTTTTCTTAAATTATCTTTTAACAGATAAAGTCACCTTGAACAATAAAAAGTGTCAGTGATCAAGTGATTTATGAGATATTGGCAAGCGCTTAATCGCGCTACTATTTGTTTTAAAAATCCATAAACTTAAAGCAAAGAATTTTTTTTTCAAATCAGATTAAGCAAACTTTAAATCAGCTAATATTTTTCAAATAAAGTTTCAGAAAAATATATTTTATTTTTGGAAGATTTTTAAAACCGAGAATTAAATTAGAATTAAATTTTGTTTACAAATCTGTCAAAAATGGCTGGATTTAAAGTTTAAATTTTAAACGATTTCTGAAAGCATGTAAAATGTTGAGATTCTAATCAATATAATTTTGATTTGAAATACACCAGAGTATTTTGCTTACTGGAAATAGTAAGTTTTCGATTAAAGCTGAAAAGAAAGCTTCAAGAATGCATTTTCCTTTTTAAAAATTCATTCCTTACGTATCGAAAATTTTAGCGAAAAAAGTGAAGGTACCTACCTTTTTTAAAACATTTTCGATATCGCTTGTATACTTTTTAATTTGAAATGTGTTCATGTTCATCCAATTTTTTTTTTTCAGTTATATAAAAAGAAATAAGATATTATTTCAATAAAAAATAAGTTATGCAATAATATCGAGTATGAACTTACGGAAATTCGGCCCACATTTTGCCAAAAACAATTCAATAATAAAACTCAAAACATCATTTTTTAAAGAATTAGTAATTGCATAATTTAATAAAACACTTTATTTTCTTTCAGATTCGACAGAATATCTCTAAACTTGATATATTTTTTTAATTACTTGTAATTTTTCAGTGCAATTTTGAAATTAATCTCGTTGTTGTTCGTCACAAGAGTTTATTTTATTAAATAAGGATATAGGTTTAAAAAATGTAAAGTTTATCATTTTTGATTGTTAGCCTTTTTTCAAAATAGAATTTTATTTTGTTTTTCTTTTAGCGATTGTTAGATTATTTTTGGTGTAGATGTACAAAAGAGAAATAATTCTGATATCTGGTGTTGATTGACTTCTATTCAATTTCGGAGGAGTATTACGATATTAATTTAATTTCCTATATTCGTTATACTAAGTTTAATAAAAGCGTATAGAATAAAAGAAAATTATATTCTTAAACTATTGGTTATATAAGGTTAAAGAAAATTTAGTTTTAAACATAAATAACAAATTCTTGATTATCGCACTGCTGGTCTTTCGTAGCTTTTTAAATGTTTATTTTTACTTTTTCCCGCGGTTTTTCGGATAATAGGAGAATAACTGTATTTCTATTTTGTCCTTTGACCTTGCAGCTAGCTTTCGTAAATAAAACGTTATTTTCAACTCTGTCAGTAAAAGGTAAGTATTACTTTTAGAAAATCCAGTTAGTTAATCATTAAATTTACTAATGGTCTTTGAAACCAATCTCTAGTACAAATATTGGATTTTAAATAGTATTTTCAATTTGGTCATTACATTTATCGTATTCAATGATAGATCGATGAATGACCAAAAAAAAGTACTAACCCTTTAAAATGCCTAAAAAGTTTATTTATATACGGAAATTATTTTTTCTTTTAATTCGGATTAGAGACCGTTATTTTTCAAACAGAACGGATATTTAAATTCAAAGAAGGCATTTAAATTATTTAAAATGTGTTTTTCGTTTGTTTTTGTTTTTTTTTGTTTTGGTTTGTTTTTTGTTTTTTAGAAAGTTCGTGGCGATACCTTGATTTTATTATTGGGACATTAAATGTTAAAGGACTTACGAAAAGAAAAACTCATTGGCTCGAGATGTTGATAGTGTCGGCTCTGCTTATGTAGCATGGCAGATCTTAGCTGTGAAGGTCTGAACTGGTGGAACGACGGCCCACTAATATATACAGCTTCACATGTCACATATCAGGCTAATTTCTAACAGCCTAATTTGGTTCATAGTCAATTTATGTCTGTTTTATCTAAAACATGTTAAAACCGTCCAAAATACACAGATTGTTTTTTCTCTTTTTAAACAGAAAAGTAATAATAAAAGATTGTAAACAAAAAAGTTATTAAAGAATTAAACAGTAATACAAAAAATACCAACAGTTTCTCTATAAATCAATTTTCTTCTGATTTTTGCCTTTTTTTAAAACCTTGTATAGTATTTTTTTCGAAATTCATTCAATGAAAACTTTCGTTTGTTGTAAAATATATTCACATCAATTTTTGCTGCGAAGTGAATTCTTTTTCCAGTGTGTTATACACAAGCAGAAACATATTTTGGAGAATAAGTTTCCAAAATTCTTTCAGAAGACTCTTTTTGTAGCGGATTCATTATGATTTACAATAAATTTATCTGCACAGTGGCGTATAGCAAAACAAGCACAAAAGTAACTCTGCCATTTGGCTAGATTGAACCGTAAGACCTCCTCGAGAAAGTAAATCAAAGTACTGCTTCTCTGTAGCATCATCACTATCATTGCCTACCATTTCAAATTGAAAACGTTTAATTATTTTGGGGGTGTATTTTCCTCTAATAGAGAAAAAAGATCATAATGGAAATTTCTCCGGAAGTAATTTGTAGGCTTATTGTAGCCCATTCGCTACTCCGTTCACGTGATCAAGGGAAGACATTATATATCTTCATGATATTGACCTTTTCTTCATTGTGTTGCCCCACTACCTTCAATTTAATATAGCAAATTCATTTAGTTTTATAATAAATCCAATGTCTTTTTTGTTGTTAAAGTATTACGAATTAGTTTGAATACTTTTCAGGAACATTTTTATACTTTGAAGTAACTCTGAATTTATTTTCTTTAAATATTAAATAGGTATGCAGGCTCAGATAATGTATATACTCCCTTATATTACTTCCGGCTACTACGGACCGTTATCTTCCGGAATTCCTGGCCTTTATACTTCCGACTACGCATTGGTTCCTACTTCCGGCCCCTATTTTCGGCATCTCTATCTCAACCTAACGCTCCTGGTTGGTCGGCGTTAATGGACCTGCTTACAAAAGCCCTGAACTTCCGCATACACCATGATACATACTTCTGGCATCTCTATCTCAACCTAACTCACCTGGTTGATCGGCGTTAATGGACCTGCTTACAATAGCCCTGGACTTCGGCTTCATTAGGTCCCTGCTCCCGGCTTTCCTGTCAGCATAAATCATCTGGTTTAGGAAATTGCTGCATGCATATCGTCCAGACTCAAACAACCTACACCGTACACTTCGGTTAAAATACTACAGAAGGTTCACCATTGAACCAGCAACTTCCATTCGTGGAGTAGTAAAAAAACAAAACAAAAACAAAACAGGTGTAAATATGCATTTTAGTGTTGAAAACATGTCTAGTGAATTGAAATAACGCCTGATAAATTATATACAATTGTACGTTGTTAATTTACGTTCTAAGAATTCAATTTTTAAAGTTTTAGATTAGTAATTTTCTAAGATGCCATTCACATTTTTTTTTATTTACATTACATCGGGCTGTTAGAATTCAGCCTTTTATATGACATGTGGGGCTGTATAATACTAGTTGGTTATTGTGGAACTAAGGAATGTAGCTTTTCTGAATACTTGTCATGAAAGTAGCGATGGAATAGCGAGAGGCTAACAACGTTTCGTCTGTGGAAAAGAATTAATCACTCGGAAGGCCGCGTAAACACTTCTGAACTCTGTCAAGGCTGGAAAGTGATTTTTTTTTTGGTGGGGGAGGGTCATACTCTTACCAAGGTTATTAAAGTGAGATGATTCTGCTGGTCCGATGTTTGTATTTGTATACTTTTCCCAAGAGTAATCAGGTAAAATGACTAAAATCTCTGCTATCGACTTGTCATAGTCCCAAACTAAATGAGTAAACGACATATGTTTACTATAATTTTAGGTTATATCTTCTCTCAACATGACCTCTTTTCTCTATTAAAAATTGATTTGTTTCAGCGTGCGGGACTAAACCTAATCTAATGTAAAAAATGAAATACAATTTTCCTAACTCAAGAAAAAAGACTAGAACCTTTCAAGAATTAACTGCAGCCTGTCTAGAAAAAAAAACGGAAATCAAATGGCAACAATTGAAAGAAAAGGGGGGGAAAAGGAAAAGGGGGAAATGGTCAAGTGGTAAGTGTAAAGTAGAGAAAGAAAACGACGAAAAGGAGAAATAATTACAACATTCTACACGTACGTACATCCGCGCAGACAGGCGCCCGCACGCGTGTGCATAAACATCCACTATGAAAAAAAAAAAAAAAAAAACTATGAAAAAAAAAAAAAAAAACTTGCACCGATGACAAGTGCATATAAAAAGAAAGGTCGCGAAGTATAAGCAGTCAATTACTAATAGCTCCAGACGAGATCCATCTACGGCATTCTATACTCGGAAGTGACAAACTATTTATTTGTGTTAATTATATATATATATATATATATATATATATATATATA